CCCCCCCCCCCCCCGAATCATATCAGCCTTCCATACCTTGGGAATGAAAAAACCACGCATCTTCACATCCTTTGCGCATTGTCTTGGGATCCCAAATAGTAAGACGAATTTGGTACGCAGGATCTCATGGATCACAGCATGGGTGAAAGGCATTTTCTTCCGTTCTTGATAGCTGATTGATTGAGTGGGATTCAAAACAGTATCTATCTCCTTCTGGATTTTTTCTGGAGAAAGGAAGATTGTTCAAAATGGTGAATGTCTTCCTAACATCTTAGCTTTTATTGCTCAATGGCTATCCTTCATATGTGGAATTTTACCAGTGTTCTAGATGATTACAGGAAGCTTGCAAGAATATAATCAGCTCTCTTGTTTTAGCCTTTAATTATGCTAAAACATAATTAAGCAAGCAATGACATTCACTGAAGGGAAATGATTCCACATCATTCTTCCACACACTACTAGCTGTACATCCAAATATCACCCCCTTGTCTTAAAGCTCCTGAAGATGAACGAGCATGGAAACATGAGATCAACATCCGAGATATGATATAGGTTACCTGCAGATATAGGTTACCTGCATCCGAGATATGATATAGGTGGCCCTAGGTAATTTTCAATGGTAAGCAAACAGTATTTTGGCACACACACACCCCCCAACCAATCACTGATATATATTTTCTGTTCGTCATTGAAGTTCTGTGTGCCATATTTGGTTCAATTCCATCATTGATGGAGTTCAGAATACTCTTTGATTTTAGGTGAACTATACATCCCAGTAATTACAACTCGCATATGTCAAGGTCTATTTTCCCCCAAGAGCGCCTCAAGAGCGCCCCTGGGCAAAATCAACTATACTGCAAAGGCTTACTTTGCGTAATGGTTGAGCCGCCCCTGGTTACCTGCTATCAAACTAAATAGGAATGATAACCAAATATTAATCAATCTTGCTCTTGTTCTTCCTTGTGAGACTTAATACAGGCCCTTGTTCACACTGCCACAATTTGTCTCACCTTGAATGTCTGGATAAGTCACCATGAGAAGCAGGGACCACTGCAGAGAAGTAGCAGTTGTATCAGTCCCTGCGATAAAGAGGTCAAAAATACATTGGACCAGGTTGTCTTCATTATAGGTAGAGGTGGGGTCATCCTTGCTCTGTTATCAACAATAAGAAAGGAGAAAGATGTTTTAGAGGCAGTTCTAACATTAATGTTGTGGTACGACGTCACCAACCTGCTTTCCTCAAATGTATTGCATTAAAACTCATGTGATCTCCATTCAATGTGCTAGAGATTATGACACCTGAAGTCCAAGTTGAAGAAAGTTGATTTAGGCTACATTGGTCATATATAAAGAAATCTGGAGGATACAAAGCTTTGGATGGCTGATATAAATAGGGGGGTGTAATACTGTACCATCTATTCTATTTTACAGGGATAGTCCCAATTAATCTTCTGTTGACCTATTTTTCCAGAAGCTGTTAAAATATTCCAGTTTCTTTCTCTTCCTCCTACTTTTTCCTTTTGTCCTCAGCTTACTTCAAATTGCTGCAAACTGAGTTTAAAAGTCATTTGAGCTCATTTTCTAGTAGGCCTAGGCAAAAGCAAGTTTGCTACAGCCTCTCCTAGCTTTCTGTTCTGTGCCATTTATAGTTTTTGTTATCATAATCCACTTTGACTAAGCATGTCCTGGTTTTCATTTCTGGAATGTTGAAGAGCATGTAATACTCTTTGTCCTTAGAGAACAGGAAGGAGAAAACTGTAGCTCTCCTGATGTCATTAGATACGAACTCCAAATAGCTCTGGTTAACATGATACTGATGACTACATCACACACAATTAAATAAGCATTTCTAGATACTATCAATGGTATCCTTCACACGACGCAAGCTTCAAATGTGGGGCAGAGGTATCTTGCCATTTCTAAAGTATGAGTTTTTCCCATGATTCCTGAGTTGATTGGCAAGTGACTTATTCCTCAATTCCCCATGGCATAGAGATGTCTAAAAACACCCAATTTGACACGTGATGGGAACCCCCACCCCACCCACCCCACCACCCATTTGTTAATAAAACAATAACATTGTGAGGAAGTATAGCAAACAAAGTATTCAAAACATTCAGGCGAAAATAGCAAGCATGTAAATCCTGAGCTTCGCTTCCTTAGCAAGCTCCCTATTTCCTCTCCCTCTTTCTCTGTTGGGTCATAAAAGTCCTTTTGAACTCTTGCCTGAAACTCTTGCTGTGCTGTTTTTACCCATCAAGAGTTCAGCAGAGAGAGATTTAAGATAGCTAAAGCTTCATTTCTCCCCTCCCTCCTGTAAGAGCACAAGAATAAACCTTCTGTATATGTTGTTGTTTTTTGGGCTGTAAGTTGAACTCCCAAAATACAAAAAGAAAAGAATTTTAAAAGAAAGAAAATGGGGGCAGGACAGTGGGGGAAACAAGTCTTTTCTGTGTGATGGCAAATCAAATGGATGAATCTTAAAGCAGAGAGAAGTGTAATAAGAAATTCAATGTGCAGATTTGATAAATGTGAATTTAACATGATATGTGGGAATGAACGGAAGAATGGAAGGATGTATGGAGCTAATAATTTTGGAGACACCAGTATAATATTAAGACCTGCAATGACTAACTACTTGCTTGCTGGACTGTTCTTAAAAGTTGCTAATAAAAACCGAAAAGTAAACTCTGATAAGAATTGGGACAGTGATAACAGAAATGTTTACAATGTTAAGAAGGAAGTCAACGTAAGATCAACACCAATCAAGAAGATCAACATCTGGCCAGGAAACTGAGATGGATCCAGGATGGAAGACGTCTATCATTAATTTACAACTTTGGGACTACATCAGCAGAATATTCCTATAAAAGAATCAGTCTAATAATGCTCAAAGTGTGACAGACCTGAGGAGTCTGATTCACCCACCTCTCTGGTCCATGGGAAAGACAGAGATGGTGTATTTGGAGAGTGGCAGATTTGCAAGGGAGCAGTCTGGTCACTTTGGGGCTTCTTTCTCAAGGGAAGAGGAAAAAGTGCTTTTGGAGTCTTAGATTTTGTGCAGGGAGTCAGGTTCTGCTATAGGGAAAACAGAGATCTGGTCCTTGGCATTGTGCTTAGGGAAGAAGTTTTGGCATTTTGACATTTTGAAGTTTTGGTGTTATGGAACTATGCATTGACAGGCTGCAGGAAAGCAAGGTCTGGCCTAACAGGTGCTTCTCCAAGGAGGGAGAATATTTGGGTGCATGAGGATGAATGAATGTACATATGTGTGAATGCTGAGTGAAAATGTAACTCCCCTTTGTTTGTTTGTTAACCATGTAATTGCAAATCCAATGTAGTTGCATAGAATCTGTATATCTGTATGCCCAATGTCATTCTTTGTCTAAATGTTTTTCTGTAATCTGATATATTCTCTCACACTGGAAATTCCAATAAAAAGAACCGATGCTTTAAAGTTATTGAAAAGTCATTCATGACAAATTGGTGTCAGAAGTGGGATATTCTTTTTAAGTGTGGGAAAGTTATTCATAACAGAAAGATTACGTATGGTGGAAGTTAGAAAATCTTCCATTACATTTCAAAATAGATTATGTTGAAGCTTTATGGAAAACCTACTCTCCCAAACACTTGACCTGTTCTGTGAGATGGTGTCCTGAGAGCTGTAGTCCACAGCAATTGGGAGATCCACAGTTTTCCCATCCGTGCCACAACTGATATGTTATAATAGCAGAAAATCAGCACATTTGTTCAATCACAAGAATGATTCCAATAACTATTTGGATGTGTAGTATTCTCATGCAAAGCAAAATAACAGACCCTTACTTTATCCATTTGGAGCAGATAGTAATCAATGATGTCTTGAGGCTCGTGCTGGTTCTGTTGCACCTTATGTCTTTCCACCTCCTTCCTTGCATATGAAAGAATAACATTCATGGAGGATATGGCCCTCTTGTGAGGCCCTGGAAAATATTTCATGACACCTGGGAAAATTTCACAGAGCTGGAGGAAGCAAAGCAAATCGTCAATACAACAAAAAGGGTCCGCTGGCATGCTGAATGCCTGGGGTTAGGAATAATAGGGATGGAATGGAAAGCTGTCAGTTTCCTAAATGGGATCATGTTTGGCATTCCCAACAACCCCAGAAACCTGTGTCAAAAGTCATTGCAAATTGTGGAAACTTATTTGTTGTTGTTCTCTTCACAACATAAACTGCTCATTCTTTGAGAACAGTGCAAGGATTTGAGGAACTGTGCAACTTTACAATACAAATCAATACAGCCATTTTACTACAACAGAAAATTGTAGCTTCTTGGGGGGGGGGGAGCTCCTTCATTCACTGTTTTTTGCTATGTACATGGGGAAAGTGAACAAAATCCAATACTAATTGCCTGCTATAGCTTATATACAAACAAAATAATGAAGGATTTGACACTGTGGCTGCATTTTTTTTTGTTATGCAGTAGGAAAAAAACTTGAACCAACCAAAACTTGCAGTTTACATTGGTTTGCGGGTATGTACGTTGTAGAATTAATTAAGTTTGACATAACTTTAACTGCTCTGGCTTAATGCTATGGAGCTCTGGGATGTGTGGTTTGGCAAGGCATCATCAATCCTTAATACAGAAGGTAAAAGACCTTGTAAAATAACAACTCCTATGATTCCATAGTGTGAGCCATGGCAGATAAAATGGTATCAAACTGCATTAATTTTTTATTTGAAAAATGGCTGTTTTATGTACAATATTTTTGCTGTACAACACTGTTTTTACATAGAAAACAGCAATGTTATACAACTAAAAGTGAATAAAATCCATCAATATTTCACAAAAAATAGGCATGTGATTTTCTAATATGACGCTTCTGTTCTTTACACATTTCCATTGAAATATTACTATTTTAACATAGAAAACAATGTTCCACAACAGAATGTCACACATAATCAACACTTTTGCACAGCAAAACCATATGCCTAATTTTAATGTAATATTTCTGAATTTTGTGCAACATTTTTCTGTGTATCGTTGCTGCTTTCTATATAAAAAAGCAATCTTACACAGAACCCATAATGTGGCTACCTTTGTACAAATCCCACAATTCAAATGTTGTACATGTTTTCCATACTTCATGGAATGCTGTAGAGTTTTTAGGTGAAGCCATGTAGCTTGTAAAAACCTATACAGTTTTGTAGGCAAAAGGCATAGTTTTTGCAGAAAAACTGTGCAATTAAAATCATTATGGCATTGGGAGGATTTTAGTATATTCTAATGCCATGATATGAAGAACTGTTTCAATATCCTTGACATCCTCTAGAACTTAGTAAATCATGATTTACCATCCCTAATAGTTAGTACTGATGTCTACTGCCAATAGTCATCATGCAAATCCCTCATGTTCACCCCAAAATGTCAAACTTTACACTTAAGAGTCAGCTTATTGTTGTAATCTGGCAAGCATCACAGGATTTCTGACTATTCAGGGGATGAGTCAGCCTGGGATGATGAGTATCAAAGTGAGGAGTCTATGAGTGATTGGAGGGAATTGTAGGCAGATGAGGCTGTTGTTTTAGATTCTTCAGCTTGTCCCCAGGCAAAAGGGGGAAATGAAAGGACCAGTTTCCTGGAGAAACTGCCTTGGGCCAATGGGGAGGTTTCAAGGGAACTTACATTAGACCTGAAAACACAGGGTGTTAAAAGCTGGCAAATGAAATTTTCTAAGAGGCTCAGAAAGAAAGCTGAGAGGAGATCCAGGTGTGTGAGGCATGATGTCATGGGTGGTTTGGCGGGCTTACATTAGAGGGTTGTTTTCAGGCCTTTCAGAGGAGACAACGTTGCTAAAGGTGATTGTTCCCCTGTTTCTGCTCTCAAGTTCTTGGTTCAAGTATTCTGAAATTTCCTGTTCTTGTTTATGCTGTGTTTCCTTGGAGAGTTTACCTTGGAAAAGTTCGTGTTTTCGTGTTAATGGATTTATGTTTGGAGTACTGCTGCGGATTTTGGTTCCCTTGGCTTTATGTTCCTTGTCATTTTTGGATTGCTGCTATTTTGTATTTTCTATTCTAATGACCCTTTTGGGATTGCCCCTTTTCAACTACTTTCTTTAATAAACATTTTAGATCGAATTATTGGACTCTGGTGTGATGCTGGGTGAAAGGATGTTCCAGTGCGAGAGTGCACCACTTACATAAGTAAGGATTACAAAACAGAGAGTAAACAATCAGGCACATCAAATCACCTCTCAAAGAAAGATTCCCCCAGGCACTTCCAAGCCATTAAATGCTAATCAAGGTGGTCAGTTGAAACATTCACACCTAGCTCCAGCAGACAAAAGTCCTTTGTCACACCCTGGTCTTTCCACAGATATATAAACCCATTTTCCTACTTCCAACAGACCTCACTACCTCTGAGGATGCTTGCCATAGATGCAGGCGAAACGTCAGGAGAAAATGCCTCTAGAACATGGCCATATAGCCTGGAAAAACCTACAACAACCCAGTGATTCCGGCCATGAAAGCCTTCGACAATACAATTTACAACACTCTTTATAATGCTAAAATTTCATATATGAAGAAAAATTCATTTGGGGAAAAATTGTCTTTATTTGGAAAGGCAATGCCCTCAATGTACTATAATAATTTAATTTATGATAATAATTTAATTTATGAGTTGTAATAAGCACTTCTGCTCATCACAATCAAGTGAAATAAACTAGATTTTTAATTTTTAAGTCTATTTAATATTTTTAAATCTAATTTTACAATCATATTTAAAATCCAAAACTATTGCAGAATAATTTCGCTTGGCTGCCTGATGAAAGAAAGTTCAGCAGGGGTGCAGCCTACCTGACTTTCCTAGGAAAGGAGTTTGACTGAAGTGTTAAACACAAAGTACTATATTGTACATTCAGCTATCTAGTCTTTCGGGGTAGTGAGACATGCAAATAGTCTTAAGTATTAGACTGGCTCACATATGGGCTTTCAAATGTCTCAACCTCAATCTGTTTAGGGCCTTGTAGGTCAAAACAAAAGGAAACAAATTGGAAACCAGTGTGTTGTGTTTTTGGCCTTAAAATAGAATGCCAGGCAACAAATTTGGTTACTGTATTTAGCACTAGCAGTGGCTTCTGAACACAAATGAAAGGAAGCTCCTCATACAACAGTAGTCTAATCAGAAGATGTGTTCTGGTACAGCTGTACCAGGAACTCCAATTCTGTTTGCTTTGCATTGAATGTTTGTTTGCAGTCCTAAG